CCCTAAAAAGTGGTCCACATATCCAAAAATTAAGTTCCTGGGAATTCACCAAACAATCCAGTTTCCCAGGAGATGTAAAGAATGCATTACAGGACGAGAAATGGGGAGAGTACCGTCCAACAAATCTTATTTCTAAAAGAGAATGGTACACAGAGTCGTTTTCTTCTCCATCGTCATCAGGAACAAATCAGATAAAAAGCTGGAGGCAGCATTTGTTCTCCACACGATTTGGGGACTACGATCGCCCACAGGGAATCATCTGCACCCCGCACCCGCCTTCCTCACCTTGTTCGTGACGTAAGAAGCCCGCCCTCCTCACCTTGTTCGTGAGGTAAGAAGCCAGGTAGCAGGTACAAAACGTGAGGCCGACCAGGCACCTCCTCATGCACATCTGTTAATTTACGCCCCTTCCCAGGGACCCCGAAGGAGCCCCACGGCCGCCGCGCGAGCCGGGCCACCGCCACCGCGGCTGCTAGGACCGCCACGTGGCTGCGAGCTCAGCCAATCCGCGCAGGGACCGCCCCCGGTGCCTGCCTCTTAAAGAGGCCGCGCCTTCGCAGGCCTCGTAACCTCGCTGTGGGCAAAGGCGGCACTCAGCCGACCCAGGACTGCCGAGGGAGGAATAGGTACCCCAGGGCTGCGACCGCCGGTAGAGCAAGAGCGGATAGTAGTCGTTGTAAAAAAGTAGAAAATGGTAGAAGTGGGGGGAAAAGCAGCTGACAGAACAGTTCACAACAGTCCATTAGCATTTAAAGAAAAAATGTCCATAGCTAGCTCTAAGCGGAGGGAGCAAAATGTTTGTGCTTTACAGAATTTTCTTCCCAATTTTCTTCATCGGGTCTGTACTACTTTCGCAAACGACACAAATAAGCTAACAACAAGAAATGTTATTTTAAAAGAAGGAAGGCTGAGGGGCAGGAACTATAATCAGTGTAGTTTTTTCTTTAGGAGAAGTCAATCCAATTGCTTTGAAATTTCCATAAAATAAATCCTTCCAGAAGTAGAGTTTCAAGCACAGTCCCTATTTCTAGTCTCTAGGGAGGAAAAATGACCTAGCTAGGCTTCGGGCAGACAGTAGTAAACATGCACAAAAACATACTGAGGGACTTTGTCAGGAGCTAGAGGTACAAGTGTCTGCACATATAGAAACATACAGATTTTTAGAAATACCCCATGCACCAGGAAGCCTTCACTCTTTTTTATCTGTATGCCCAATGTAAAATTGCTTATCAAACTGTATTATCCAAGAAAATACTGGATATATTGTCTCCACATAAAACACAAATAAACTAAAAATTTATTTTTCCTTGACAATATTTAGAAAACCTATTTCAGAGCTAAACAGTCCTTACAAAGAAAATTTTTGCCCAATAGAATTTGCTTGAAATAAATGGTTGTTATATACCTGAGATTTCCCTGAACTCTTTTAAGAGGTGAACAAATTCAATTCAGGCCTTATTATTTCCTAGTTATTGCTTAACTTATTTTCTTTGACAAAGTTTGCTTAACAAGCAGGAACAACCAGAACAGTAAAGAACCATGCAAATAGAAGTTCACATTTGTAGCAAAAGTGCTGTAGATCTTACCAGAAGTATTGGTTTTTCCAAAGCTGCATTATTCTGTTCCACAAAACAAACTAAACTAATACTGAAGAAAAATGAAATTACCAGGTCTTACATTGATAAACAACAAGCTGCTATATGTGAGACTGTGTTAGACCTTCTATTCACACAAAAAGATTTAACTAGTTGCATTGTTAATTGAGATCTTTGAGACCAAAGGGTCATAGTCATTAATTTACTTTTTGAAAATTGACTGATAAGTGCTCAAAAAAATGTTTCTTGAATAAACAAAGAAGGGAGCTTGGATTAAACAATAACTTGTGGGTTTTTTCTCCTCACAAATCTTTTTTAATAATGAATTTTTTGACAGCACACATGGACAATTCTCAAAAGACGGCAGAAGTGGCTGCACACTTTTTGAAACTTCCTAAATTTCCCTTAAGGAAAAAAGAATATCGATATCTCTTATGGATATAGATGCAAAAATCCTCAACAAAACACTAGCAAATGGAATCCAACAACATAAAAAAAGAGTATACACCCTGACCACATGTGATTTATCCCAGGAAATAATGTTAGTTTAACATCCAAAAATCAATTAATGCAATACACCATATCAATAGAGTAAAGGACAAAAATCACATCACCATCTCAAATAGAAACAGATAAGGCATTTGACAAAGTTCAACACCCTTCCACAACAAAAACATAAAAAGAGGAACTTCCCTGGTGGTCCAGTGGTTAAGACTCTGAGCTATCACTGCAGGGGGCACGGGGTTCAATCGCTCATCAGGGAACTAAGATCCCACCTACATGTTGCAAGGCACAGCCAGAAAAACAAGGACTTCCCTGGTGGCGCAGTGGTTAAGAATTCGCCTGCCAATGCAGGGGACGCAGGTTAAAGCCCCGGCCCGGGAAGATACCACATGCCGCGGAGCAACTAAGCCCGTGCACCACAACTACTGAGCCTGCGCTCTAGAGCCCACGAGCCACAACTACGGAGCCTGAGTGCCACAACTACTGAAGCCCTCACGCCTAGAGCCTGTGCTCCGCAACAAGAGAAGCCACTGCAATGAGAAGCCCGCGCACCACCACGAAGAGCAGCCCCCGGTTGCCGCAACAAGAGAAAGCCTGAGCGCGCAGCAACAAAGACCCAACGCAGCCAAAAATAAATGAATAAATAAATAAATTTTTAAAAAAACATAAAAGAAATTAGATAAAAAGAAGGAAACTTCCTCAACATAATAAAAGTCACCTACAGTTAACATTATGCTTAATGATGAGAGACAATGCTTTTCTCCCTAAGATCAGGAACAAGACAAGGATGACCATTCTTGCCACTTGTATTCAACATTGTATTTGAGGCTCTATCCAGGAAAATAAGGCAAGAAAAAAACTTTAAAGGCATCCAGATTGCAAAAAATGTAAAACTATCTCTGTTACAGATGACAGGATTTTGAATACAGAAAATCTTAATGAATCCACTAAAGAAATACTATTAGAACTAATAGATGAGTTCAGAAAGTTTACAAGACACAAGATCAAAAAGTCAACTGTATTTCAATACACTTGCGATGAACAATGTGAAGAAGAAATTAATGAAACAATTTCATTTAAAATAGCACCAAAAATGGGAGTTCCCTGGTGGTCTAGTGGTTAGGATTCGGCACTTTCACTACTCTGGCCCAGGCTCAATCCCAGGTCAGGGAATTAAGAGTCTGCAAGCCCCATGGTTGTGGCCAAATTAATTAATTAATTAATTAATTAAAAATAGCACCAAAAAGAACAAAATATTTAGGAATAAATTTAGCAAAATAAGTCAAAATTTATACTCTGAACACTACATAACATTATTGAAGGACACTGAGGAAGACCAAAATAAATGGAGAGATACCCCATGCTCATGGATCAGAAGACTTAATACTGTTAAAATGGCAATATTTCCCAATTGGATCTACAAATTCAACACAAAACCCCATCAAAATTCCAGTTGGTTTATCTGTAGAAATTAATAAGCTGATCTTAAAATTCGTATGGAAATTCAAGAGACCCATTATAGATAAAACAATCTTGAAAAAAACAAAGTTAAAGAACTCATAGTTCTTGATTTCAAAGATTACTACAAAACCTCAGTAGTCAAGACAGTGTGATACTGGCATAAGAATATATATATATATATATATATATAGAGAGAGAGAGAGAGAGAGAGAGAGAGAGAGAGAGAGATCAATGGAATAGAAGTGAGATTCAGAAGTAACTCCTCACACTTATGACCAATTGAATTTTGACAAGGGCACCAAGAGAATCCAAGGAGCAAATTTAACCAGTAGTTCCAGGACAACTGGATATCCACATGCAAAAGAATGAAGGTGGACCCCTACCTCATACAACATACAGAAATTATCTCAAATGCTAAGTGAAAGAAGCCAGTCACAAAAGACCACATGTTGTGTGATTCCATTTATAGAAATAGCCAGAGTGGGCAAATCTATAGAAACAGAAAATAGAATAGTGGTAGCCTGGGGCTAGGGGAAATGCAGAGTGACTGCTAATGATGAGGGGTTTCTTTATGGGGCGATGAAAATGTTCTAAAATTGATTGTGTTGATGGTTGCACAACTTAGTGAACATACTAAAAAATCATTGTATTGTACACTGCAAATTGGTGAACTATATGGTATGTGAATTATACCTCAATAAAAGTGTTATAAGAAAAAACAGACCCCCCCTAGCAAAACCACATCCCACGGAGACCATCAACTTCAAAACTAAGGGAAAGA